CACCACTGATTTAGTTACACTCTCAGGTAATAAGAAATATTCCTCAATTCAATTTATCCTATAGATGTGTTGCAACAATGCTGCTATGAATAAATGGAAAAAGTCTTCAAATTCACCATCTTAACTTGACTTCACTTTGGAATAATTTATTTTGTTTGTGATTCAATTTCAGGTGCTCATACATTTGGCAGAGGTCACTGCTTTTTCATTCTTGGCCGGTTGTACAACTTCAGTGGTACTGGCAAACCCGACCCAACTCTTGACACAACTTACTTACAACAATTGCGCAAAATATGCCCTCAAGGTGGACCTAACAACTTGCTCAATCTTGACCCAACCACTCCTGATACATTCGATAAAAACTATTACTCCAATCTTAAGGTTAAGAAGGGTTTGTTTCAGAGTGACCAAGAGTTGTTCTCAACACCAGGGGCTGACACCATCAACATTGTCAACAAGTTCAGTAGTGACCAAAAAGCTTTCTTTAATAGCTTTGCGACTTCAATGATAAAGATGGGAAATATTGGTGTTCTCACCGGGAACAAAGGAGAAATAAGAAAACAATGTAACTTTGTCAACAAAAAATCTGTCGAAGTTGATACAGGTAGTTTGGCATCTGAATCAGAAGAGGGTATGGTTAGCTCAATATAAATGAATTCGGTCAAGTTATGATTACCCTTCAAATTGTGTGGTTGAAGGTCACTAATAAAGAAGCTACACACACTTTATTCGTATAAAGTGCCGCAGCTAGCTATATTTCATTGTCGCATGTATGATCTTCAATCTTTATTGTATTTTGAATCATGTTGTGTTCTTAATATCATTTTTTTTATCTATTACATGCTATATTTCTTCAATTTTCAAATTCAGATTTGATTACTTGTTTTTATAACACTTATCACTAAACTCCTAATATAACTCAATTGAAGAAACATGTTCAATGAAAATATGTTCAACCAAAAGCAAGCAACAAGAAAATAATTGCTTTTACTAAATATTTATTTGATCATTTTTTTGTCTTGTATATAAGACTACTTTGTATATTATGAATTTAATTATGTTCCTTGAGCAATTATTTTTATTTAATAACCTTATTGAAATGTACTTAAAGAATCTATAAATTTCATCATCAAAGGAATTAAAAAAAAAAAAGCTACAAATAACTTATCAAATTATAACATATATATTTTCATAAATTCAAATAAATTTCACAAAAAAATTCTAAAGCCAAATCACGCTAGAAAGAAACAAAACAAGCAAGTAGTTTCAAATTATTATTTTTTCTTTTTACACATGTGGTATATATTAGATAGAATAGAATAATTCACCAACCCTAACCTTGGATTACCTCTCTTAAAACCCTATCCACATGACAATGTTCATTTCTACATTAATTATGGTATATAATACATCAATCATATGTTTGTAGGGTTTACTAACGTTTGATTCCATATTAATGAACAGTGAAAAAAAAATCCAAAACCAAAAGAGTAATGATCAATTGATAAATATAATATTAACTCCACAATCTCATCATGGTGAATAAAAATTAAAGACCTCTAGGATTGTTCGTCTTTTTTACTGGTTTTTTCTTTTTATCTTATATAAATCAAGTCAAATATTAACCTAGCATTCGACTGATCTAATCAAACGCTTTAATGTGCCATGTTGCTTAGAAAGATTGGTATGAATAATTTTAAGATTACATCAAATCATATTGGAGTGGGGTAAAATTGCTGTGAATAGTAAAACAATTCTTTTAAGTATTTAGTATAACTAAATAATTAAAACTCAAGTTCAATACCATTAAATTAAGTTATAATGATTTCTATTTATATGTTTAACGCATTTATCATGTGTATATTAAAAGAATTTCGAGTTTGTTAACATCATACTATAGGGGTGATTTTAGAGACCAAATAAAAATGGAAATTCTTTATTTAAAATTAGCTTATATTTTTGTAAATATCATATTTTAAGGGGGTTTTAAATAAATAAGTAAAACTGAAAAGATTTTATATTACAAAATAAGCATTTACTATTATATGTCTTATTGTAGTGTCTTTCATGGCTAAGTTAATATTATTTTCCCATGACAACTTTGGACCTTTTAATTACTAATTTATTATTTACAGGAAAACTGTTTCATACTCAGCCTAGAATTCATGATTAATTCCTAAATATCTTGAAATCTTGTTATCATGATTTTGAGAATAACTTCTTTACTTATATATTATCAATATTATTGAAAATATTAACACTTCTTTCATGGGAATTAAAATTCTCATGTTTTGTCTCAATTATATATCTATTTAGTTTTCATGCAAGTTTATATAATTATATGATTATTAACAATATAAGTCATTTTTATTGAAATATAAATAGTGTCATCAACAATGATCATATTTAAGTTTACAAAGTATTTTTTGAAAATCTGAAGGAAACTCCAAATCAAACTTTGTACAGTTTAGACGGACACAAAATATATCTTTCCCTTTTTATATTATTGGTAAATAATATATATTTGGAACTATATTCTTTAATTTATATATATATATATATATATAATTTAAAATTCTAAAAAAAATGTACCATACTTCTTAAATATATTCGAACTACATATGATGAACTGTTTCGATAATTAAAAATTAACATAAAAAAATGAATAATTAACTATTAAATATCGCATGAGTATGTTGTTAATTATCACTTGGAACATCAAATTATTAATAAGTAAATAATAAGATATAATTTAAAAATGAATAATATCTTAAATATGTAAATAATAAAATAGAATTTTAAAATGAATAATATCTTAAATATTAAAATCAATTTTAATGATATTTATTATAATGCTAGATGAAATAATAAACATATTTAAAATTAAATTAATCAAAAAATAAAATAAAAAACTGTTAAAAAAAACAAAAATCGATTAAAATAGAATATTTTTAGATTGAAAAGTTTTTAAATCGGGTTGGTTCGATTTTTTATTTGACAATCAAGAATCTGTCCAAATTAAATCAAAACAAAATTATAATATATATTATTAAAATTAAAATATAAAATAATACTTATGTTATGATAAGCAAATCAATATTTTAATATTATTTAAATTAATCAATATTTTAATATTATTTAAATTAATCAATATTTTAATATTATTTAAATTAATCAATATTTTAATATTATTTAAATTAAGTATAAAAATAAATTAAAATTATAAATGTTACAATCGTTATGTTAATTTTGTAATATATTTTTATTTAAAATTTATTTTATTATAATATATTTAATAATTTTATAAAAAATTTGATAAAATCAAAATATAAAATATTAGTTTGATTCATCGAATTTTTAAAAAATTAAAACTAAATTAGATCCAACTATATTCAAATTATAAATATTTTATATTTAGTTGGAATGGCTTTATATATATATATATATATATATATATATATATATATATATATATATATATATATATATATATATATATATATATATATATATAACCAACCAAAAGACTGTGTATGATAAAAGTTTTGTGCATAATTAATATTATTATAATCATTTACATAATAACTCCTTCACAATTCAATAGTCTTTAAGAAATGAATAAACTCCTTCATAATTGAATGCCTAGAAATTTAAAGCAATAACGTGGGTGCTATCTAGTGAAAGTGGATCTACACACTCTATCATAACCCAAATGCGTAGAGGATTTATATTTTATATCACACACCTCCTCATCATGCGCTAAGTCTTGCAATAAAACATATCATATGCCTATAAACGAGACTAATAACAAATTTCAATATAAAAAGAAAATCATAGTACACTTTTAAATATATTCTTTAAAACTAGGTTAAGTTGATCAGACATATTTTCATTAAGTTAAAATCTATTTTAGTTAAATTAATTTTTGAATTAGAAATTAGATTCATTTATAATCTAATCTATCAAAATTTTAATTAATATTTAAAATCTTGGTAATTAATATTAGAGATTAATTTAAATTTTAATTCAAAAGTTATAATATGATGACTTTTGTCACTAAATTAGTTTATTTAAATATTTTTATAGTCAAATAAATAAAAAATATTAAAAAATATATGCATTTAAAGAACTAAAAATATAATAAAAAAATAAAACTAAAAAAAAATAAGGACCAAAAAGAAGAGAAACTATGTTTCAGAAAAAAAAAACACTTAAATTATTTTGTAATTATTTTTATTCAATGATAATAATTTATGTTATAATTTCTAACGAGTTTTAACCAATAAAAAAGATGTTTAAAAATATTTTCTATTGCTAAAAGAATCACTTGCTGTAAAAATTGTTAAGTACTAAGATTATAAAAAACTATGTTTAATAAATTAAATTGTCAATATAAATAGCATGAGCCTGCATAGTAGTAAAATAATTTAATCTAAATATAATAATGGGGTAAAATTTCTTTTAAAATATTTATCCAATCATAAATAGCCCCTATCATAAATATATTATACGTTTAAAAGATAATTAAACAATTTAACGACTAAGAAGTCATGTTTAAGTTTGTACTATAAATTTACAATGTAAGTTGATTGTGATACTAATATAAATTCACAATGTTCATACAACAAATTTAATTTTGGTGGTGTAAACTCAAGCTAATTAGTACGCGACAAGAGTTGACTTAGAAATAAAATGAGTTAATTGAAAATTAGAATACATTGTACCTTCCTTGGTCAAGTGGATCGTAAAAAAACACAATCTATCAAAAATACTGAAATCATAATGTAGAATATATAAGATAGAAACAACTTGTGTAATATTATATATGTTTAAAACTACATATGCAAAATGTGGCCAAAAGGAAGTTTTCTTATTCTTGGTATCATCATAATTGACAAGCAAGGCATGGCTATAAATAAAGGGTGTAGCACTATGCTCTTTCTAACCACAACACACACAAATACAATCATAAACACACGTAAGGTGTTAACATTTTAGGCATGAAAATGAGGTTTGCTTGTGTGGTAGTAATGGGTCTGGTGGTTGTGCTTGGAGGGTTACCATTCTCCTCTGGTGCACAACTAGACCCAGACTTCTACAACAATACTTGTCCAAAGGTGCATTCTATTGTGTTTGATGTGGTGCAGAATGTTGCAGAAACCGATCCTCGTATGCCTGCCAGTCTCATCAGGCTTTTGTTTCATGACTGTTTCGTTCAAGTATGTCATTGAACTTCCTTATTCACCCTCTCTTTCTATCTTATCAGTTTATATATCATTCTTAAATGAATTCAGTTTTCGTGTGTTATTTAATTATAATAAGAAATTATTTCTAAAAATAATTATTATTACATATTAATATGTTAGATAATAATATATAAAAAAATTATAGGTATAATTTAGAGAAATTTTACGCTACACCTAAACTTGAGAAGGGTATTATACACTAAAATTATAATGTGTCCAAAATATGTAGACGAAAAATCTAAAATTTCTTAGCACCAAGCAACTCTGTAAACTATATTATTAGATAATTTACTCGTTTTTATGTTATTTTTTATCTCATTTCAAAATGAAATAGATCTCACTTTAATAAAGCTAAATTAGATCTAAATCTAAATTATAAAAAGATATAAAAGTTTACTCAAGTGAATAACGATATGAGTAACATACAATATATAAATAAAATTAAGATCGGATCAAGCATATTGATTCTGGCTTTCCAAGTCATTGTTAAGAATGAACAAGAAATAAAGTGATTATGTTGTTGATGGCTGTGGCATGCAGGGGTGTGACGCATCGATTTTGTTGAACAACACTTTGAAGATAAGAAGTGAGCAACAAGCCCAGCCAAACAGAAACTCAATAAGAGGTTTGAATGTGGTGAATGACATCAAGACAGCAGTGGAAAATGCTTGTCCCGGCGTGGTTTCTTGTGCTGATATTCTTGTCCTTGCAGCTCAGGCATCTTCTGTTCTGGTACGTCTCATAAATATAAATGAATAGTTATTAAAAAGAAGATTCATTACGTGTCAATCAAGTTCTTTGTATCTTCTTATTTTATTGGTTAACATTACTTTGTTTTATCCCTCTTACATGAAAATAGTATGATTTAATATTTGATAGGGTGGTGGTCCTGACTTGATATTTCCATTGGGAAGAAGGGATAGTTTAACGGCAAACCGAAAACTTGCCAATGAAAACCTTCCAGCTCCTTCCTTCACCCTCACTGAACTTAACGAAACATTTGCTGCTCAAGGTCTCGACACCACTGATTTAGTTGCGCTCTCAGGTAATAAGAAATGTTCCCCACATTTGCAACATTGCTAGCAATAATAACAAATAATAAATGGAAAAGCTCATCAAATTCACTGTCTTAACTTGGCTTGACTTTGCAAATTTTTGGTTTGTATGTGATTCAATTTCAGGTGCTCATACAATTGGCAGAGCTCACTGCTCTTTCATTCATGACCGGTTGTACAACTTCAATGGTACACGCAAACCCGATCCAACTCTTGACCCAACTTACTTACAACAACTGCGTAAAAGTTGCCCTAGAATTGCCCGACCAAAAACCTTGCTCAATCTTGACCCAACCACTCCTGATACATTCGATAAAAACTATTACTCCAATCTTAAGGTTAATAAGGGTTTGTTTCAGAGTGACCAAGAGTTGTTCTCAACACCAGGTGCTGATACCATCAACATTGTCAACAAGTTCAGTAGGAATCAAAAAGCTTTCTTTAATAGCTTTGCGAATTCAATGATAAAGATGGGAAATATTGGTGTTCTCACCGGGAACGAAGGAGAAATAAGAAAACAATGTAACTTTGTCAACAAAAAGTCTGTCGAAGTTGATACAGGTAGTTTGGCATCTGAATCAGAGGAGGGTATGGTTAGCTCAATATAAACGAATTCGGTCAGGTTATGTTTACCCTTCAAATTGTGTGGTTGAAGGTCACTAATAAAGAAGCTACACACACTTTATTCTTATAAAGTGCCGTAGTTAGATTTATATTACATTATGGCATGTATATGATCTTCAATCTTTATTGTATTTTGAATCATGTTGTGTTATTAATATTAATTTCTCCTGTTTTTATCTATTACCTGCTATATTTTGTTCTCTTCTTCCATTTCCAAATTCAGATATATTATATGCCGTGGGCTCTTATATATTTTTATACAATAACTTTATTGAAATATGCTTTAAAATCCATAAATTTCATCAAGGAATTTATAAAAATATACTAAAGATAAATTATTCAAATTATAAAATATATATTTTAATAAATTAAATTAAATTTTATATAAAAAAAGTATATGTTAAGACAGACACACGCTAATAAACAGAACAAGGCTGGGAGTGGTTAATTATAGGTTAAAATATAAAATTGCTTGAAAACCAATTACATCTGTATTATGTTTAGATATAATCGAAGCAAGTACTTTCAAATTATCTTTATACACATGTGATATATATTAGATAGAATAGAATAATTCACAAACCCTAGGTTTGGATTACTTCTCTTATAACCCTATCCACATGACAATGTTCGTTTCTACATTAATTATGGTATATAATACATCAATCATTTGTTTTGTAGGGTTCACTAACATTTGATTCCATATCAAAGGATCATAAAAAAAATGTTCAAAAACAAAGAATAATGATTAATTGCTAAATCTAGGATTGTTCCACTTTTTATAGTTTTTTTTTTTATCTTATAAATTAAGTCAAAAGTTAAGCTAGCTTTCGACTCTAATCAAATGCTATAACATGTGAAATTTGCTTATAAAGATTGGTACGAAAATGTTTCAAGATTAATTACATACAATCATATTGGAGTAGGGTAAAATCTCTGTGAACAGTAACACAATTATTTTAAGTATTTAATAGAACTATATAATAAAAACTCAACTTCAATACCATTAATTAAATTATAATAATTTCGCATTAGTTCTTTCACCCTAGATTGGCATGAATATGATATTATCTTATCATGTATATATTAAAAGAATTCCGAATTTGTTAACATCATACTTTAAGGGTGATTTTAGAGAACAAATAAAAATGGAAAGTTTTTTTTTATTAAATTAGAATTTATTTTTACATTGTAAATATCGTATTTTAAGGGTTTTTCTAATAAATAAGTAAAACTGAAAAGCTTTAATTAAAAAATTAAGCACTTGCTGTTATGTGTGTTTATTATAGTGTTATCCATGGCTACGTTGATATTGTTTTATTACTCATCCTAGAATTCATGATTAATTCCTAAATATCTTGAAATCTCGGCCATCATGATTTTTGAGAATAATTAAAATTTGCAGGATTAAATTTTCGTATGCAAACAAACTATAGCAATAAAAAAACACGGATTTTAAAAACTCATAAAAATTCTTTTATTAAAATACATTAATCAAATTTGATTTTGGGTGAATTGAGCAGAAGAAATAAAATGCATGGCAGAAAAAGCCAAGCACAAAATGCCTAGGGTTTAGGTCGAAAACCCTAACTGAAAGTTAGAGAAAATCAGTATTAATTAATCAAATCAATGTTTGGTTCCAGCAAGATGTTTCCAGAAGAGAATCCCAGTGGCCTGTACCAACTAATTAAACAAATTTAGCTATCAACGTTAATTAATTCCATGTATCAAGCACGAGCACTATATATGCATGCAGACAAACAAGACCCACAAAACTAGGGTTAATTTATTTATTTAATTCTCCAAGTTCGGTGATTCGTTCCATAACTTTTATTTAATAATTCAACGCTTTATTAGAAATAAAAATATTGGGTAAAACTTTTTTATATTTAATTTTTTTTATTTTTGTAGTTGTCGCTGTTTTTGCGTTGACTCTATTGATCTAATATATTTTTTAATGACCTAAAACAAATCAAAAAATACTTTAGAAACAGCCAAGAGAGTCCAAAATCTTCGAAGAAGAGATACAAAATATTGTTCTCAGATACCACAAGTTTAATGAACCTAATCCGTTTACTATGGTATAATCTTAAGAGCAAATATGTATTTTTTTTTCTAATCACTAAATAAGATGGATAGTAGTAAACTTAACTTTATCACGTGATCACTAATATGATATTAGTAATATCCAGTGTCAGTGGAATCTTGTCTAGAAAGTAGAAACAAACGTGAAACGATTATGAGTGTATTGGAATTGAAGCAGTGACTTGTGTTGGCAATTAGAATTCACCACCCTAAACCCTAAACAAATTAACGAAAATATAAGTTTGAATTCTACGATGTAGTTTCAATACAACAACATATTAAAAGAAATAGACATAGAAGGGGGTGATTTTATTGACCAGAAGTACCATTAAGAAAGCAATGGTTGGTTACAAAACTCAGATTAAAGAAATGTATTCACAATTCACAAGGTCCCACGTTGACATGTTACCGCTTCACCAGTCGTTCTTTCAAAAGCATGGTGGTTGGCATACACCTTTACTTTAAATGTTTTATAATAAACCATACCTAATCTTTTCTTCAATGTCAAATCAAATTAAGTTAAGACATCTTCTTTTATGGTATTGTAATGTGTTTTCTTATTGAGTCCAAACATTACTCTTGCTAAATCGAGATATTCGGTGAATTGTGTATTTTTTTCTGAATTTTTACTTATTTATAATATTTTTTTATTTATATCAACATTGATATTCCGTGTAAAATAATCTTATGACGGTAAATCGGGTCCGTTTAGTCTTTGGTCCGCCGGACTAATTTGCTATAATGATCGCGGGTTGGTTCCTCATATTTTTATTTTATTTTATTATTTTTAAATTAAATCTTTGAATAAGAGAGTAAAAAAGTTTGAGATATATATAATTTTTACCTTATGAAGAATGATGAACAAGAAGGAGATGATGAGTAAGAGGAAAAAGGTTTGTAATTGAGAAAAGAAAATATTTCTTGTAACGTGAGTTTAAGTATTTATAAAGCTTTTTGAATTTTCTTAGTAGTGAGATACTCGAGACTTTATTAATTCTCTTTAAGACACTCGAGACTTTTAAAATTCTCTTTTCATAAATTTTTATATTATATATTGTGTTTCGACTCTTTATATTATATCACATTAAAAAAATATTATTAGTAAAGTGGGTCGCAGGTTAGCTTGTTCCGTCCCACGAATTAGCCCGACGGTTGGTGGGCTTAGTGGGACGAATCAAAACGGATCGACAGACTAAAAGTACTAACCGGCCCCACCATATAATGGCGAGTTGGCGGACCGACCCTAATCTTTTTTGTCATCCCTAATCTTAATCAACTAATTAAGATTATTTATTTAAATAAATTTGAACGAGGGTTAATATTGTAAATACATTATCAAAAATTTTAAAAAATAATGCAATATTTAATTTAATTTTATAGAATTGATCGAGATAATAATTATATTTATTTTTATATTATAATATTATTTTTTATCAAAATTAATCTTCCCTATTTAATATTAAATATTAGTTTAACATTTTAAACTATCTAAATATTAGTTTAGATTAAAAATGTAATGAAGACTTGTGTTCTAGATATATCCATAGCTAGCAATAAGATTGATATATCCTTTTGTCTATTGAATATGTCATCACGATTTTGGATACCAAATAAAGCTGTTTTTTTCTTATTTAACTATAAGGATTTAAATAAATGAAACTTTTATAAAAGCTAAAATATAAAATCGTAATATCTATAGTATAAAAATTCTGTGGGGTTGAATCAGGACACAAAAAGCAAGGTTAACAACGTGAACTCAGAAAAAGTTATCAGCAAAGAATTTGGACCACCGTACCATTCAAATTTGGTTGCTTTTTAACAACACTCTTATTTTTACATGTCTATTCTAAATTTAAAATCTTTAATATTATAACTAAAGTTTTCCGTAACTTCAACAAAGGAAACCCCTGTTATATATTAATCATTTATGCACTCGTACGTACATAAATGGAGGAAACATAATTTTTTTCTCATCATATCTTTATTCAATGTTGAAGAAAATAGTAATATAGGTAATAAGCTAGTTTTGCCTTACCATAGTATTGTTGTAGAGTATATCGATTAATTTTGTTTAAATTGTTTTAAAAAATAATATTTAAATATTTTTATCTACAAAACTCAAAATCAAACTAATAAAATTAATAAATTACAAGTGCACAACTAAAAGAAGCAATTTTCTTATAGCAATTTATAATAAACAAAACTTGAAGTACGTGTCTGGTTATTAAATATTTTTTACGTCAAGTTCAAACAAAAATGAGAAAAGCTTTAGTTATATAAATATTATAGCTTCATTCCATGAGATGGTGCATGTTTGTGTTTCTAGACTTCGTCCAAACATAGTACTTAATTTTTTAAATGCTTTGGTCAAAATTAGAGATCACCATATCAAATATTAATGTGCTAAGTTTTTCTTCTTCTTTTTTTACAGAAAACATACTTAAGCAATCTGGTCTAGATTTCATCGTGAATGTGTGGATGAATTATTTTAAAATTTTAAATACACCAAATTTGACTTTTTCTCTTTAATCGCGGTAGAATGATTGAAAATCTGAACCCACCAACAGCGAACCAACGCAACCACGTTCCATTTTACTTCTTTCTTCATTTGTCTCTTTAAATAGACCCTAAGCATTTGGGGAACCTCACAACAACAACACATTCATTGTTCAAAACACACGACACAATGAACTCTTTCAGTGTTTTAACAGTGAAAGTAACACTTTGCTGTGTGGTGGTTATGCTCGGAGCATCACTACCATTTTCAGATGCACAGCTTGATAACTCCTTTTACAAAGATACATGTCCGAAGGTGCATTCTATTGTGCGTGAAGTTGTCAGAAATGTTTCTAAATCTGATCCTCGTATTCTCGCCAGTCTCATAAGGCTCCACTTTCATGACTGTTTTGTTCAAGTATGTAGAATTGTCAATTCTTGCCGGCTTAATTCTTCATCTTCCATATATAAATATCATTAAGAATAACGAGTTCAATACCACTCAAAAACTACTTGATGGTTCATTTGCTTGATTTAAGTTTAACATGGTGTCAACTCATCAGACAAACATAACTATAAGTATTGGAATGTTGTAGTATTAATCAAGTTTTATGCTGCTATGTGTGTATGTGTTTATATGACAGGGGTGCGATGCATCAATTCTTTTGAACAGCACTAGTACTATTGTGAGTGAGCAAACTGCAGCGCCAAATAACAACTCCATAAGAGGTTTAGATGTTGTGAATCAGATCAAGACAGCAGTAGAAAATGCTTGTCCTGGCATAGTTTCTTGTGCTGATATTCTTGCTCTTGCTGCTGAGATATCTTCTGTTCTGGTAACTATGCTTATTTTCCCAAACTCGACGTACTAACTAATGTAATAAGGGTATCATAATGTAATTAACATGATAATATATACATAAACCAGGAACAAATCTCGTCCTCAAATCGATTTTTTCATTTTGGGTAGAAAAACAAATTATAATAACAACAGTGTTCATGAACTGTCATATATAATGCTGCTATATATTGTGGATAGTGAGTAGGTGCCTAGTTATTGTCAGAATTTTAATGAGTTTTCAATAATGGCAAATACTAGCACAATAGTCACGCCAAACACTAACATTATTTGATATATAAATATCTTTTGGCAGACAAAAAAACATGCATCGTGATCGATATGAACAGAAAAGTATAAAATATCTATTTTCACCAATGAATACTCATGGCAAAGGATCATAGACTGAGTTTCCGTTTGGTGTTGGTGATTATAGCATTATGCAGTAGGAAGCTTCGTGTACTCATAATGATATACTAAAGATAAAGTAGGTCTAAGGAGGACTTTTTTACAAATAGGTAGGTCTTCCTTTAAATATACTATCTTAATGCCTTGACAAACTATTTTATTGATAATTAAACATAAAATATAAATTCAAACTTCTTTAAGGAAATTAAGAACATTAAATAAGTTCATACTTTTTAAAGAAATTAAGAAAATTAAAATATTAAGATAAATATAATTAAATAAAATAAATTCCAAAAAAATCTACACGTTATAAAATATAGATATGGATTTCATTTTTACTGGGTCAATTTGAATGATTGTGTTCTTGCCACGTGTTGGTGGGATTTGGCCACACAACCCTGCTTAACGTTGTGTTGGGAGGGGAGAATCCAAGGAATTATGTCCCTTGCAGTGGTCATAAGATTATGACTTTCACCTTTCAGCCCAACTATAAAGCCCAATCATTTTAATATGTTTTAGACTGGTCAAAAGATTACGACTTTCACTCTCCAGCCCAACTCTAAAGCCCAATCATTTTAATATGTTAAAGGCCTTGCTATTCTCATCATGTTTGTTTTAAGTTCACCACCAGTTTTAGAAAATTTTCTTTATAAAAGTATCTTAATGAAAATATAGTTAGGTTGTGTATTAAAATACATGATGAAAAAAATATTTTTCGATATATAAATAACAAAAAAATTATTTTTTATGTGTATCTAAATAAATATTGTCCATATTAATAAAGAAAATGAAGTTTTGTTTCATATCTAGACAAATCTTATATAAATACACAAATCTTGTAATGTGTTTTATTGTTTAGACCAAAAAAAAGGGATCTCCTTAAAATTTTAGTAGAAAAAGGGATATTTTGTCTATTTTAAAAAACTTCATGGGATTATTTTTATATATTTTTTAAAATTTTAATACTAAACAAATAATAATTCATTTGCAACAAAAAAAAATTTCTTTAGAATCGCTTTCTTTTAAAATTAAAAAAAAATGTAATTGTAGGTCGATTTGATTATTTCTTCTCCCTGCATGAAATGGGTGGATGTTTGTGAGTGTGGTGTTATGGAAAAGCTTGCTTCTTACCTTGTTTGTCTTTTATTACTTGTTATAGGCACATGGTCCTGATTGGAAAGTTCCACTGGGAAGAAGAGATAGTTTAAATGCAAGTTTTGATCTTGCTAATCAAAATCTTCCTGGTCCTAATTTCACCCTTGAACAACTCAAATCTACATTTGATAGGCAAGGCCTTAACACAACTGATCTAGTTGCACTTTCAGGTATAATTTTCTACACTCAAGAAACATATATTTAATGAAGTTATTGATAATGGTGCATTACATCTACATGTTTCACTTTCAGGTGCTCATACAATTGGTAGAGCTCAATGCAGATTTTTTGATAATCGATTGTACAGCTTCAATAACACTGGAAACCCTGACCCAACTCTTAACACAACCCTTTTACAAGCACTGCAAGCAATATGCCCTAATGGTGGACCTGGAACCAATCTCACCAATTTAGACCTAACCACTCCTGACACATTTGACTCCAACTACTACTCCAATCTTCAACTTCAAAATGGCTTGCTCAGGAGTGATCAAGAGTTGTTTTCCACAAGTGGTGCAGATACTATTGCCATTGTCAACAGTTTCAGTGCTAACCAAACCCTCTTCTATGAAAACTTTAAGGCGTCAATGATAAAAATGAGTATCATACAAGTGTTAACAGGATCACAGGGAGAGATTCGAACACAGTGTAACTTTGTGAATGGAAATTCAGCTAGCTTGGCTACTCTAGCCACCAAACAATCTTCAGAGGATGGTGTAGTGAGCTCAATCTAAACAAGTTAATGAAGAATATGGTGGTAAATGCGAGATCAATGATCATGAATAAAAAGTTTTATAGGATCATGCATGTGTCATGTGCTAATGGTGGATCGTAATAACGATTATTCTCTATTATAGCTATGGATGGCTCCAACTTGTTCTGTAATATCTGGTTATGAGAATTCAAGTTGTTTGGTGTCTGTTGTTCTGGAACTGATATATGAAATATGCAAGAACTGTTGTTTGTTCTGTTTGAACCAAATAACATATCGTTAATAAATGAAAGAATATAAAAAAATAAAAGATATTTTATTTGTTCAATAATTTATTTTCAATTTCTAATTATATTTTTTATGTAGCTTGATTTTGGTCTAACAATTTTTTAAAGAAAGCTTAACAACATCAACTTGGCTCTCAAAAAACGTTATAATTAAGAACATGACACATTTAATTTTTTTCTTTATTAACTATTTTATCATCACTTTTTTTGTTAAATAATTAAACTTTGCATACTTATGTTTTGCATTGAGATTATACATTTTAGAAATGTTAGCAACTCATTCTCTATGGTACTTCAATCGGGCCTGCTGGGAGGCATATGTGAATGATTGTGACGCTCAAGGACGTGTTACGCTTGACCTAACTGACCCGAACCTCGTCGTTGCGCAGTAATCATTTGGTATTGAGGTCCGTCAAAGAATGATTCTAGATTTCTTCGACCAGGGGATAACGGTGCCAATCTTTTGGCATATGCTCAATCCAGTATTGGTCGCTTTCGTGCCGCTAGCAATAACAGGGGTACCGACGCTCTCGAAATCTCCTGGAGTCAATTAGCGTTGAAGTGGCTGATGAAGCGCCCGCTGTTAGAGCCGTGGGAGTTACTGGACAGAATACCAGTGGACCGGCTGTTCAACCCCATCCAGAGGACATCTTTCGGAACACTCGGTTCGTTACTCAGGTCGAGGGACCTTCTGAAGCGCACGAGCCTATCGTCTAGACTTCATCCAACTCTGAGCACGAAGAACGAGATAGAGATGTTCTACCCGTCATTGTTGTCCGCCAACGCTCGTGTCGACGTGCTCCTGGAGCTGCTGGGACAAGACAGACGCGTCATTCCCGTCGCTAGGAGTCGTTGGGAGGCCGGGGGTGCAGAAGCTAATCGGGGATGGAGAGATGTTGAATTGGAAAGTCCATTTCGGAATGCATCGTGGTGCTGGTTGTACAGCTGATGCTTTGAGGCTGTTAGCCGATGCCGGGTCGACCTACTAGAGCGTTTCTTGTGCGACTTCTACACTCTCCCCATTAGCCCGGAGGTCCTACAGTTCCGACCGATCTCAGAGTGCCGGATGGTCCCGAAGCATGCAGGATAACAAATTTCAACGAGGAAGCTACTTTTAGTCCTCTTTTATTTGCTTTGGTTATAATTAGTTGTAAGCGGAAGACTAGCCTGTCAGTCCTCTTTCGAACTCTATGTGGAATATGTATAACTCTTATGCTCTTGGTGAATGTGATGCTTTTTCTTTGCCTTATTTTGTTGGGCGTGTAGGCTTTCGGTCGAAGTTACTTTCTGTTAGTAAATTGAAGGATGGGAAGCCGCTTGGTCGATGCGTTGTTATGTTGGATGCGCTTGAGCAAGCTGCTTCCTCTCCACTTTATAATGCTCTAACATCTGTTTTGCAGAACAGCCGCTCCAACCCCCTCTCTGGGTTTCGTAACACAGTGGTCCGGGCTTCTTCGGATTGGTTGGGTTTTTGGGCTGAGGTTCGGGAAGCTGCGGTAATTTTTGAATTGGATTGGAAGAAGTTTGATAGGGAACGGCCAGCTGAGGACATTGACTTCTTCGTCGATGCAGCTTCCTCGTTGAAATTCTTATACATATGACACATAAAGTTCGAAAAGATGACTGATAGGTCAACCTTCCCGTTTACAACCAAAAGCAAATAAAAGAGAATCAGAAATAATTTCTTCATTGAAATTTTTCATCCTGCATGCTTCGGGACCATCCGGGATCCCTAAGACTTGTTGAGAACTATAGGGTCTCCCGGCTGTGGGAAGAGTGTAGAAGTCGTGCAAGAAGCGCTCTAGTAGGTCGATCCGGGCATCAGCTAACAGCTTATTAGCTTCCGCATCCCGGCCTCCCAACGACTCTTAGCGATGGGAATGGTGCGTCTGTCCTGTCCCAAGGAGCACGTCGACGCGACGGATGGAACATCTCTATCTCGATCTTCCTGCTCAGAGTCTGATGAGGTCTAAACGACATGCTCCTGTACTGCACAAAGTCGAGCTCCTGTACTGCACAAGGTCCCTCGACTTGAGTAACAACCCGAGTGATCCCGAAAGATGTCCTCTGAAGAGAGTGAACAGCCGGCCCACCGGTATCTCCAGTAGCTTCCCACTGCTCCGGTAGCGGACGCTTCATTAGCCACTTCGATGCAAATTGACTTCATGAGGTTTCGAAATCCTCGTCAGCCCCTATTATTGCTAGAGTCACGAATGCAACTAGTACTGGATTATGCATATATCAAAAGATTGGCACGTTGTCCCTAGTCGAGGAAATCTAGATCATTGGATCCGAGAAAATTTAGGATCATTCTTTGACTGACGTGAGTACCAAATGATTGCTGCACGGCTATGAGTTTCGGCTCAGTTAGTTGAAGCACAACACGCCCTGAGCGGCGCAATCATTCACTTCCTCTCTCTCTTCTTCTCCTCTGCTTACAATTTTTCTTTCATTCCTTTCCCAGTTTTTTACTTCAATGAAAGAGTAATACCCAGAATAATATAATCTCCTTGCCACTGCAACTCACAAGACAAAAGAGAGAGAAAAAGAAGAAGAACACCACCATCATCATCATAACTCGTTGCAAAGTAACAGCATCATCATGAGTTTGGTTCCTGAAGACTTACCGAGCTTAGATTTGAGACCTTTTTTTGTTACCAAAACTATCACTGATCTTCTCAGCCACCTTTCCTCCACCCCAAATGCTTCCCACAAGAGTTGCTTGCTCGAAGACTTTCTCAACAGATTGGAACTCGAATTGGACAAGATCCAAGCATTCCAACGCGAACTTCCTCTCTGCATGTTCCTCTTAAATGATGCAATTTCAGCTTTGAAGGCGGAGTTAGAAAAATGCAGAACTTACAAGTCTGAGCCTGTTTTGGAGGAGTTCATTCCTCTGAAGAAAGAGTATCAAGAGAAGAAGGTTAGTGAGAAGGAAAAGGAATGCAGGGACAACAATAATTGGACGAGTTCTTTTCAGCTTTGGAACACTGACGAAGCTTATAAAAGGGACAATGCATATAGATTGGACCAAAAACAAAACAAGAGTAATGAAGAAGAAAGACAATCTGTGGCCAAGGACTATTTCCAATATGCTGGAAATAGAAATGTAGAAAGGGGATTTGTTATGCCTTTGTCCACTTACCTTCTAACAAAGGAAGAATGTGATGTCAATGAACTTTCTCTTCAGACACCTGAAACTGCAGTGAGAAGCAAAAGGGAAAGATGTGGTTCCAGAATCACATCTTGCAGGGTGGTTTCCTCCATCTCTTCGCACCTGCTGCAGCCTCAAAGTGGCCGGAAACAAAGGAGGTGCTGGTCGCCGGAGTTGCATCACCGCTTTGTTAAAGCATTAGAGGAGCTTGGAGGCTCTCAAGCAGCTACTCCAAAGCAAATTAGGGAACTCATGAGGGTTGATGGCCTGACCAACGATGATGTAAAGAGTCATTTGCAAAAATACCGACTTCATACAAGGAGAGTTCCAGTTGCTACAACTGCAGGAGGCTTATGGATGACAAAGAATCCTTGAAGGGTAGCAGTTCTGGTTCTCCTCAAGGCCCTCTCCAATTAGCTACACAATCTGGGGAAGCGACATCCAGAACAGAAGGTGGCAACATGATAGATGATGATGTAAAATCGGGTTAATAACTGGAAATGTCACATTCAAAACAAAAACATGGAAATGGTGATGTGTGGGTATTTTCTCACCATGAATTTTGCAGATAAAAGTAAAGGAGTTTCACAACTACTCAAGAACAACTCATGATACATAAAAGAGGATGGATTTATGAAGAGAGGCTTTTACCGTTTTGAAGGACCAGTTTTCCTTCTATGCTATGAGTTTTCAAATGATACTCCGAAGAAAGTAAGTTTTTCAGGAGGAGCAGTTCATATTCCAGTATCAAAATGATCATTCATTTATTTTTTTCTGCGAAATCACTGTAGAGCTGAAGGAGAAATAGTCCAACGTCTTTGTTGGGATTCCTGCAGTAGTAGGTGGAGTAGTAGGTGGATGTTGGAGTTTCATGATTTCATGGTTGACTTAATTAGTTCAGATTATCCTTGTTTGAAAACTTGTAGTGATTGTACCGATATGTAACTCCCAGTTTTGCTTTCTGGTAAGTTGGATTTCTGGCAAGATTCAACATAAATTTATTTGAAGAAAATTAATTTGATTGATATTTAATGGCCTGATATGTAAATAGTAGAAAGAATAAAATATTATTGAATCTAATAGATATATAAAAAAAAATCTTAAAGAAAAATTTAATTATAAAAAAGAAAAAAAATCTAAAAACAACATCTCTTTTTTATTTAATAACAGTAGTCTTGATAATGCTTTGTATTAAAAATTATTAAAAATAGAATATAAGAAAGTCAAGTTATTAAATAAGTTGTGAGACTCCATTTCTTTTTTAATTTATAAAAACATTCAACCAACAAATGATAATACATTTCTAATTTCTCTAATTTTTTAATGTTTTGAAAACAAGGAATAGGTAAAAGGTGGCTGAAATCAATTACAATGAAAAATCAATCATTATTTTATAAAAATAATTGAGACTGAATTAACATTAAAAATACTAATATGTTAAACTTAAAAAAAAAACTATTTAACTAAAAAAATTGTGTAAAGGGTATTAAGTAGGTATCGGGCTTTGAACAAAAGAGAAATAAGAAGAATAAATAAACCAAAAGGTGTTGGACAGAGAAATTGAGCTTTTACCCAAAAAGAATAAAAAATAGTAAAAGGTGTTAGGTATATTAGACTATGAAATCAAACAAGTTGTAGACTAATATATTTTTTTATGTTAAACGAGTTTAAGTTTTTTTTTTTAATATTAGTCTAAATTATTTCTTCATAATCTATGAGTGTTGCTTCTATAGTCAAACCATTAATTATATATATATATATATATATATATAAATTTTAAGATCGAGAAAATTTTTTATTAAAAATATTTCTAATATAAATATATAATACACTCTAATATTCAAATTAAAGGTCTAACAACACAAGAATAAGTATATAAATAATATTAATCTCATTTATTTATACTACCTTATTGCGCTTCTTAGGGGTCTTCGGTCTTGCTTTTGGTCACATGTCCTTAGCGTGTCACTTTGGTCGTGCAGCTACAATGTACGTATCCTGACCTGCATGACTACAGTGTCAGTGTCAGTGTCACATGAGATCGTCTATATATTTATCCTCTGTTTGTTGCAAGTAATTTATTGTTTTGAAGGATAGAAAAGCAGGATGAATTGCGTTTGTTGGAACTGATATGAGACGATTTGCAGGCGCGGATTTGAGGGAAAGGGGAGGAAACAGTACATCCACGCCTCCTCTAATTTATGCGAGGATTTGAGCGGATAGCAGAGAAAGACAGGTCATCAACTGATAAATGACTTAAATACCCTTTTCCATGTGCAGCATGTGAACACACAGTATGATAGCGGTTAAATTTTAACCGCTATTATAATAGCACTTCTAATAGCGGTTAAAACATAACCGCTATTATAAAGCACTTCTAATAGCGGTTAAATCTTAACCGTTATTATATATTTTCAGATATGATCGATAATTTTAAAATGTAGTCGATCATAATCGATAAATTTGGATGTCGCTCGAGCGACGTCAGTTTCGCTCAAGCGAAAAACAACCCGAGAATGAAAATTATGTGCAGGTGTCTTCGCTCGAGCGAGTTTAATGTCGCTCAAGCGAAATACAACATGTAATAGTGGTTAAACGATAACCGTTATCTAATATATACTTTAAATAGCGGTTACAGAGGAACCACTATGATATCTTCCAATTATGATCGATCATTTGAAATTATGATCGATCAGGATGGTATTTCGCTCGAGCGAGAGTATATTCGCTCGAGCGAACTACAACTCGAGACCGAATCTTAAAATATTTTTTTGAATATTATGTTTTTTAATTTGTTATTAGAGAAAACCTTTCAGAATTCAAAATGTTAAATTATATTTTAGAATATATATATCTATATAATTTTCTATCAAAATTATATATTCTCAAATATAATTTATTTTCATTTCTATAATATATATATATAAATGTTAGTAATATTGTGGAATATATATTTTATATTACAATAATTGATATAAATTATATTTTAGAATATGTATATATATATATATATATATATATATATATATAATTATATAGTAAAATAAATTCAAATTGTGGATTCTTGATAGAGGCTATTCTATGTGAACATATGATAGTATGTTCACATATGATAGCGGTTTGAGGTCAACCGCTATCATATGTGAAAATATGATAGCGGTTCGAGGTGAACCGCTATCTTAAGTGTCGAGATTTTGGAAAAGTGATCGATCATTTTGGCAAAATAATTGATCAATTGAAAACTTTAGATAGCGGTTAACATATAACCGCTATCACAAGTTACTTTTAAGAGTGGTTATCTTTGTAACCGCTCTTAAAAGTGTATATATAATAGCGGTCAGGTTTAGCAGCTATCTTATATATATTTGTAATAGCGGTTATTACTTGGAACAGATTATCTAAAATCTTGATCATTTGACAAATTATATATTCTAAACACGACGGAAGGAGGTAAGTCATGAGCGAAGTCACGGAGTTCGTACATGCGGTGGTCACGAGTGCATGCTGACCAACTTCACGTGTTCACAGGTGATAGATGTAACATCCTAATTCTTAGTACCTTTAAAAATTTTGTCAAAATTTTAATAATTAAATTATTAGGAATTGGGGAAAGTGACTATAGAGTTTTATGTTTGTTAGATTATTTGTGATTTCTCAGAAATTTTTTTAAAAAAAAATTAATAATAATAAAATAATAATAAAATAATAATATATCTTAAAATTTAGATTTTGACTTTGAAATAGACACTCACTCTGCAACTTCCAGTGACTTCTTCCTTCTCTCACGTTTCTCACTTTCTCTCAAACCCTCCTCAATTTGAAGCTTAATTTTGAAGGGAAAATATTGATTTTCTTGAGAAGCTCCAAGAGGTAAGTTTGTTTCTCTCAATCTTCTCTACATTTCTACCGTTTTATTTTTCAAAACGGTGCATTTTCAATTTTTTCCTCACTTGGTTAAGCTTGAATGGGAGTAGAAAGAGTGTTATTGTAGGTTTTACACCTAAGACACTAGAATAATACTTAGAATTGAGGATTAGAAGTGATTAAGCTAAAAACCTTAAGCACCCTAATTCGTAAGTCACTGTTCATTGAATTTTGGGACGTTTGTGAACAGAATTAGGAATTAGTATTTTCATAAAAGTTGTAGCCCTTTAAGTTATAGAAATTTAGAAACTTGTTTCACATCAAACGGATATTTGTAGCTCAAGTTATGTTCATTTTACTGTCAAGTGCTATAGCTGTGAAGTTAAGAGGTTGCCCTGTTTCAACAGCCTCGGTTTTTGAATTACTGGGATTGATACGTGTGAAATTAGGACTTGATTTCTTCATAAAAGTTGTAGGAAATTATATTTCCAAAATTTAGAAATTTGTTTCATGTCAATACCTTATGTGTAGCATGAGTTATAGTCAAATTACCAAGGCATGTTCAGGGTGTTATTGTAGTTGAGCCATGTTGGAAACAACCACTGTAAACTGAAAAACTGCATTTATTCTACAAGGTATTTGAATTTATTTCCTTCATCAATATTGTAGGTAATTAAGTTGTTGAAATTTTGGCTCTTACCTCATGCCAAAACAGTTTATATAACTCTAGAAAATTCTGAAATACTAAACCTTGTCCATATTTGTTATTAGGATTCTTCCTACTCTAAGTGTATTACTTCCATTACTCTCTTCTACTTGTATTAATTCCATTAGCATCAATTTAGGCCCTAGAAATGATTTTATAACTCAAAGAACCATATAGTCTTGAATTTTAGAATTTTAGGCTATGAAGGAGGTGAGATTTTAGAGGTCTAATATGGTTGGAATTAAGGATTTAATTGGGGTATTTAATTGGCATGTAGGAGACTACTTAGAGGTGCAAAGAGGAGACCCAAAGACTTGATAGATTATTTGATCAAGAGTTACTCTTCACCAAGTTACAACATAAGGTAAGGGGTAGGATAATTTTTATAATTCACTTTTGCTTGAAATAGCATTGAGAAGAAGTTCATTTACTTCTAAGTTAATTAGAAATTTATTTGGAATTATTTGAATGTTATTTCTATTTTTGATGAATTTTTAAAGTTTTAAGATTATGTGAATTTTATGGCTTCTAAATGGAGCAACTTGAGTGTATGAAACCTTGTATGATTATAAGGCATCCATGAATGTTGTTTGAATCGATTGCTTAATCATTAGTAATTTTATATGATTTATTGATGAATTTAGATTGAGAATTAGCCTATTTCTATGTTTAGTATTCTGATAATTGCTTTAAATTGATTATTGAGATATATTGTATGTATGTTATGAAGCATGATAAGTAGAAAATTATTGTGCAATGTTTTTGTTAAGATGTGATTTAAGTATAATGAGGTGAAACAAATTTG